GAAGAAGAAGAAGAAGAAGAAGAAGAAGAAGAAGAAGAAGAAGAAGAAGAAGAAGAAGAAGAAGAAGAAGAAGAAGAAGAAGAAGAAGAAGAAGAGGTAGCAGTAGTAGAAGAAGAAGAAGAAGAAGAAGAAGAAGAAGAAGAAGAAGAAGAAGAAGAAGAAGAAGAGGAAGACTAGAAACTACAAAGGTTTTGAGGAGCTGCAAAGTTTAGACCGACACACTTCGTACCAATGAAGGCGAGGTCTCGATAACGATGGTAAATTTCATTTTCGGTGATTTCCGATTCCGAAGCGAATGCAGTCGTCTGCCCATCGCGAGATATTGCACAGACTTTCGTCCGTTTCGAACGAACTTTAACCCACCCTGTACCCGGAGCGCCATAAAGCTCGAACTGAGTCTTCACTCACCTCTCGCGCATCCTGGTTAGTGAGCATCACCGATCGCAGACAGGTTGGCACGGCGATGGGACTGCAAGGCGCACACGCATCCCGCTGTGGATCGCCGGCGCCACCTGCTGAGACGACTTCGCCGCTCCCCGGCGTCGATGGCGGCGCGTCGCTCACGCCTTCGACGACGAGCTCGCAGACTTCTACTGTTGCTATGGCATTGTCCAACACGGCTGCTATCACGTCCATGTCAGCATCGTCATCGCCCCGGATCTCTTCCTCCTCCTTTATGCAGACGCCGGCCATCCTGAAACACGAATTATTTGCAATCACGTTGCCACGTCGTGCCAGCGGGAGATGCACCTAAGAAATGCCTAGAAGAATCAGGTTATTACGTACTTAAATTGACTACGTCACGAATTTTCTATGGTAAAATTTTTGTTGTCATTTCTTTACATTAAAAGTAAGAACTAACGGGACTAAACGTATCGTCAAATTCTTACCTGATAAGATTGTTTCTCAACTACCATATATGATCGAGTAATAACCGCAAATTTGGCCTCAGATTTCAACCCTGTATTTGCTCTGCGGTTTATAAGTGCGCCATACCGTGAGGGGAAATATTTGTTCATCAATCGTTGCCGAGTCTTGTCACTCGCGGGGCGATAATGCGTGAATCTAACGTTCATTAAATAAATGCATAAATCGTGTTTGCCTAAATGTTTTGATAACGTAGTACGGTATTAACTATGATTGAAATATTTTTTTCCAAATTCAAATGTTATAAATAATTTATTAAATTGCCAACAGATGGCAGCACATCGGAAAAAAGCAATCATTTCATATCAAAGCAGCGAAGCGGATCGGTCGTCAATTACCCGGTACCATAAATGCTTTGTCTAGCAAAAGTGTGAATTTGTATAAGGACTCTTCAAACATGTCATGATGTGCTCATAATCTGTGTGCGGTTTATACCTGAACTAGGCGCAATACTTGGTTACCCGATTCAAATTGAGGTGCGGCTTATAGGCGCCCGCGGTTATTACGCGATCATATACGGTAGTTAAAAATCCAAAAAAACCTGGACGATTTGATATTAGTGTTCCTGAAATTAATTGCTTGCTATGGGCTATGTATGCGTCACGAGTGTATGTTCACATCGAACAATATAGTAAAATAAGAAGTATAATGCAGCAATTTAACCATAAAAAGTGAGCAGAATTACTTATATTTTGTGAAAAAGTGGAAATTTATTTATTATTTTTTATTATTTAAGGTGATGTAATCACTTTAATGTACGATCACGTATCACGCGCACAGAATGCCTGGGAAGAAGTCACGCTGCAAAACAGTTTAGCATGCCAAACAGTTTGAAACTAGTTATATATGTATTTGAAAATATCAAATTCCAAACAAAATCATACCACAAAAGTTAGTATTCATAGACACTGACAAGAACCAGTATGAATAGTTTGTACATTAGATGTTAGTTGTATTAGAAATAGAGTTTATACAATATTTATATTCTGAGATGCAAAAAAATCATTTACTCTACGCATAATTATCTATATAGTGATTTCATATGAATATCTAGGAATGCATATTAGTAAGGCCAAAACAAAATATAGGAGTGGGTACAATTTCCCGACCGACCCTATTTATTCCCAGCGACCCTAAACATTTTATTGTCAATTTTCTTTAAAGTAATAAAAAAATAAATAAAATAAAAATAAAAAAATGAATTGGACAGTTCCTGCTTCAAAAGGCACAACGCGCATCCTTTGGACATGGTTCGTAAAGAAAATATTTCAAGAAAATAAAATGTTTTCCCTACCTACCTACCCTATTTTTTTCGGCATGTAACGGTAACCACACATATATTTTGTTTTGGCCTAGTTATAAGCTAATATCCAATTTTGTATGTAATTGTCTTCCATTCTCAACCTTAATTTTTTTCTACTACCAAGTTTGGCCTTAACTAATACGGAAAAAATGACACAGCAACTGATACCATGAGCATATATAAAGGATTTACTTTAGTACAACCTTTGATTTATATGCTCCTATTATATATGCTGTGTTAGATGTTTACAACACATTAATTGGTGTCAGCCATTATGGTTGATAAATTTTTTGATAGCTTAAACCCTGTGTTGAACGTGCAAGCTTACATTTACAATGAGTGTTAACGGTAACTTAGGCCACAATTAAAAAAAATATTTGTTTGCCCTCACCCAACGCAGGCTGAAAAGTTTGGGTAGGTAGGTACATGGTTTTTTTTAAGCGGTCTTTTTACAAATTCAGCATGCATGGTGTCTACATGCTCGGGTGTGCTTGTGTGGAGATATCTTTTATGTTGAATGCTTGTTTTGCTTGGTACATATAATCAAGAGCGTATAAAAAAGGAGAGCATACAACGGTGAAATGGTGAACCATGTTGCAGTATTAGTCGAATTAAGAAACTTTGCATTTTATTTTGACGATTCTTTGCGGTATTATCAAGAGCGTATAAAGGAGAGCGTACAACGGTGAAATGCTGAAACCATGTTGCAGTATTAGTTGAATTAATAAACTTTCCCCGTTTTATTTTGACGATTCTTTGCAGTATTATTGATCAGCTGTCCTATCTTGTTAATATAAAACAAACCGAATGTCCCTACGATGCCCCTACGCTGAGATAATGAGCGGTGAAAATTTGGTATTTTCGCCGAAAACCGACTCGAGATCACTGTTTACTGTGACGTCTCTCGCTTTGAGATAACTTCGGGAAACCTCGCGTGTTTCTGTCAATGATTGACAAATGGAATGAATGACGTCTGTTATTGATTGCTATAAGTGATGACCCCCACCTGTGCCACCTCACGCTGGATGTACATAGTAAACTCTATAGTACTGACATGAGTCAGCGCTACCATGGCGCTACACAGCGGCGACCGGAAGCAATACACTGGCCACAAAGCGAGAGAGGGTCGCAGTAAACAGTGATCTCGAGTCAGTTTTCGGCGAAAATACCAGATTTCACCGCTCATTATCTCAGCGTAGGAGCATCGTAAGGGACAAGCGGTTTATTTATATTAGCAAGGTAGACAGCTGATCAATAATACCGCAAAGAATCGTCAAAATAAAACGGGCAAAGTTTCTTATTGCGACTAATACTGCAACATGGTTTCAGCATTTCACCGTTGTACGCTCTCCTTCTTTATACGCTCTTGGTATTATTGATCAGCTGTCCTATCTTGTTAATATAAAACAACGCTTGTCCCTACGACGCTCCTACGTTGAATAAGTGAGTGGTGAAAATCTCGTATTTTCGCAGTAAAACCGACCGAGATCAGTGTTTACTGCGACGTCTCTCGCTTTGTGGCCAGTGTATTCTCCCGGTCGCCGCTGTGCTAGCGCATGGTAGCGCTGACTCACGTTAGCTACTACAGAGATATACTATACAATCTATCTGAGGTGGGCACAGGTGGGGTCATCACTATGGCAATCAATAACAGACGTCATTCATTCCATTTGTCAATCATTGACGGAACACGCGAGGTTCCTGAAGTTATCTCAAAGCGAGAGAGAGTCGCAGTAAACACTGAATCCGAGTCGGTTTTCGGCAAAAATACCAGATTTTCACTGCTCATTATCTCAGCGTAGGAGCATCGTAGAAACAAGCGCGTTGTTTTTATTAACAATTAAGGTAGGACAGCTGATCAATAATACTGCAAAGAATCGTCAAGATAAAAAGGGCAAAGTTTCTTTAATTTGACTAATCTGCAACATGGTTCAGCATTTCACCGTTGTAACACTCTCGCTTCTTTATACGCTCTTGATATAATGTATTGCCTACAGATTTATATAATGTTACACCAATAGAATTTGTAAAAAAAAAAATATAAATAAATTTTTTGAGTAGGCCCTAGGCCTAGCCCCTTTTGGCGGGTCGGTTGGGTGAGGGCAAACAAACAATATTTTTATCAGGGCCTTACTGGCCTGAATTTTGATTCACCCCTGGCTTTCAATACACCATTTATTTAGGTATTACTTAGAAATTATATAGAGCCGCGTCTATAACCCATTGCCCCCCCAATGTCATATATACCTTCCTACGGACCTGTCACTAGTTATAGTTAAAGTCAAAGTTATAGTGGCTAGCATAGCTCTAGAACTATAGCCCTCTGCTCCGCCGCAGGACTGAGCGTAGGCTATTGTTCTAGAGCTAGCACTGATACCTCGACCACATTTTAAAAAATACAAAATTTACTTCATGATCAAAATGCAGCTAGCAAGTGCAATGTTATTAGTTCTTTAAATAACTTATACCAGATTAAAATGGTCTGAGCAGACCTTTAAATATAGTGACGTTAGCTAGGACCAGGGTTAAATCCTTTACGATTTATCCTAGCAAGCCATAACACCTTGCAAGTTGCATTCTGTTGACAGCTTTTTACTTTTAGTTTGACTTCCTTGGTCAAGTTGGGTGGTGTATGGGTTTCGGAATTGCATAAAATCGTCGTTTAACATTTACATCAGCACGTTTTACACAAACCCAAAACAGCAACAACCCAGCAAACATTGTAGTATTGGCACGGTACTGGCCCAGTACCGCTCTGAACAATCGGCCCAACACCGCATGCCAGTACTGGCCCCGTATACTCTTGCACAGCGGCGTTGTACTGGGCCGGCATCGGCAACGGTACCGGGCCAGTACCGTGACGGTACCGAGCCAGCATTGTACCGCTGCCGGCATACAGTATTGGCCCATTCTCGGGCCGTTAACACATGCTGCTACCGGGCCAGCAGCGGCCCACTTTCTGCCAAATACCCAGCCAACATTGCAATACTGGCCCAGTACCAGCACAATAATGTACCCCCATCGCCTTCCCCTGTTCCCCAGTGGTAATTCAGGGACTAAGATAACACACAAACAAGCAGATATCATATATAGCATATTTATCTGTATTCAGATATTCATACATGTTACCGATTCTTCTTACACACACATACATATATGAGCATGATTTTTTCCATAATGTAATGTAGTAAAAACTACGTAAGACCAGAATAATATATACGGCATAATTGCTCAAAACAACCAAATAAATAGCAACACAATACAAAATATTTAAACGTAGAGACTATATGTAAACGTATATGAGGTTGTATGAGATATTGACTACATAAGATGACTATAGAGACTGTTGAGGTTCTATGAGAATCACAGTTGTGCAACATAACCAATTAAAGCCTGCCTCTCTCTCTCTCTCTCTCTTATATATATATATATATATATTATAATTAGCCAAATAAAATACAAAG